AAAACAATATGGCACCTTCATCTACACAGCTTTCTAATCTAGTGAGAGTAATTTGGTTTTCAATTATATTGAAAATTTGTCAAAAGCAATCATAAGAAAGACGAAAATTACTAAACATGGCATTTCCACATGACAACAGCTACCCTTGCTTTGTTCTTTATTTTGCCAAACAAGTGCACCTCTAGTTAGTTCAGTTCAGACCAACCATTCCAAATCTATCCCAAGCTGTTTTAAACCTTCCTTATACAAGACAAAGGCACAGCACTTTCTTGCGAAAGGAAGCCATTTACTATGTCAAAGTTTATTCACACATCAACATGAATAGGCCCCTGCACATAGAAGAAATCAGTGCAAAATTTCTTCTTAAACTTCTACTCGAAATTTCTCTAAGCCTATCAGATGGGAAGCTGCTAAGTGACAGTACACTGGGTGAGTTAGATATGGAACAATACGAGGATCATACCAAGTTAGAAATTCAGTTTCAGCTTCCTTTTAACTGTAAAATTCTAAAGATCTGCCAGCTAACAAGCTAACTTTTTTTTATTCTGCTCCAGTAACCAGGCAACAGACAACTGTTCAACTGAGAATTATCTCTCTGAACAGCTGGCAATCAACACTCCAGAGTTTTTGGTGGTTGGTCTTTTTTTTTTTTTAACTACTAGAAAGATCAGTGATTACTTCAAAAACCCACACAGCTCTAGACTGCACCTCTGAAATCTCTACTCACTGTTTAGTCATTTCCTCAGTCTCAGTATCCCTGAAGTCACTCATATAAGTAAATGTTTACAGCAGAACATTAAAATCTTAGATATATACTTATGAAGTCTCTAATCAGCTAATGTTAACACTTTAGAAAAATAAAAGTATCGAGAATGAAAGTGAGATGCATTTATTGATGCATGACAAACCGTCCTCAAGGAACCATGACAACAGACAGCTAATGCCTGACGCCATTCTCGCTTCTAACTCCATTACTCTTTTTTCTCTTCCATATTTGAAAAAGCAGTATTTCACCTCAACATTATTTTGAGTGTTGCTTTCTAAAACAGATTCTTTTCCCTATTAGTCTTAGGTTATTTTTAAGAGTGCTAAATTAACATGACAATCCCTTTATTATATAAAGGAAATAATGGTGAAACAGCTTGATGTGTTATACCTTCCCCCTTCCTAACAGTTTAACGAGAGTAATTAAGCTAGAAAGTGAATTTTTTAGTTATAAATTCCTGTAAAGTTCTGTTACTTACATATTCAATGTGTCTGAAGGGTGTTTAAAAGTCAGAATAAGACACTTTTCAAAAGGGCGCTTGCACAAGGATTATCTAGACTATCTCTCATAATACGGGCATGTTTCAAAAATATCTGATATTCAAACACAGAACATCTCAAATACAAGTCATCTGGTAAAAACACAACACAGCCACACAACACTTGAAACACTCTACAAGGTGGGAGAGGAAGCTCCCACCTTTTGTATCCTCCAAGCATTTAGATCACTACTGATTAGAAATCTGCTATTAAAACAACACAGCTCATCTATTGTTAAAAGCAGTAAAACCTTATCCCCATTTAATTATGCTTTTATTAATCTCCCCTCTTAATATGATCTAATTTCAGTACACACATGACTTCACATTCACATAAATTGAAAAACACTGACCGAGCTCAAATTCACTCAAGTACCAAGTTCAGAGCAGGCAAGATCCCGTTGCAAGATAAACAACACGATGCGATGTAACATAATTTTGGGCGTGTGTGTGTGTGAGAGAGAGACTGAGGCAGGAGCAGAGAGGGGGTGGGGGAGAGAGAGAAAGCAGGCAGGAGCCCGCGCCAGCATTTGCAATGGAAAAAAATACATATGTCCAGAGTAGTTTTCAGTCCAGCGCTCACTATAATTCAAAATGGAGAAACAGATAAGACAATGAGAGCTTAATATCATAGAAACTCTTTTTTTTTGCATTATTCAAATTAAAATCATACATTAAAATAACTTCAGAGAGTAGCTACTTTCTTTATGAAGCTCACTTCATTAATATTAAAGTAGCATGGCTACAGCTGTATTTCGGTTTTGGACCAGAACCTACTAGTATTGACACACTCTGTACTTCTCTGCAGAAAAGATCAGCACCATTTAGTTTAAAAGTAGGGCATATTTTGCCATTTTAATTTCACTTCCACTAATCTAGAGGGACAAGCCTCAACTGAAAAGAATCAGGGGGTAATCTAAACATAATAACCAAAGTCAAATTGCAGGAGTCCAGACAATTAGAAAAAGTCAGTTGGTAACCTGAAAAGAGAACAATAAATTGTGCACTCAAAAAAAAAGACTGTAGTGGATGGCAATGTATTTATATACTACTTCCTATTTTGTAAACTAAAATGTTCAATGCAAAGCTGGTTTTTTCCTTCAATTTCTTGCAATTAGAGCTGCCATATAATTCTTCAGTAATTATGTCACCTTTTGACGCACAAAAATAATCCCAACAGAAACCAGTCTGCATACTGAAGTCCTATATCACAGAGGAAAAAAAAAGAACACTATTAGATCACACGAACTACTCATGACTTCTGGGTTACAACCAACTTCCTCCTTTCCAAACAGCAACTTTCTCAGCCTGTGCTAAAACTTTTTGGAAATACAGAACAGTTTCACAGAAGCTTCGGCAAGAGAACACTCTACAGCAAAACGTACGTTAAACACATTTATAGTCACAAGCATCAGAGGTACAGACTAGCTAATTCCATTAGGAAACAGAAAAATAGCCCAAGAAACTTCGTAAGAAAAATAAAGCATGTCTTCACCTTAGCTATTTCACCAGGTTTGCATTAGCTAATGCTATATGAGCACGAGAGGCTGGAAGAAACCCAAAAGCCATCAGCTCGGGGAATGTCAGGACCTCCGAAAATTCCCTGGGCTGGTGGTCAGACGCAAACAGAACCAGTAACGAGCGCGAGCCACCCGCGAAGGCAGCTCTCATCCCTGCCCCACGCTCCAGCAGGTATCAGCCGCTACTTCTGTAAAACCCTCCTTTTCTGTACAGCACAGCGTGGCTGCACGGTCCAAGCTGACGGTGGGAAGTCAAACTGGAACTTCACTTGCACCTGTTACAGCGAAACCGCTTGAGCCTCCCTGCCCTCGTTCTGTTATCACTACTGATTTTAAAAGAGAACGTGTTCACGTCGCAAACGTTCTCACTCATGTCATTCTAGCTTGCTTATTTTTATTTCGCAGAGGTTCTTCTGCTCCTACTGCTGTATCTTTACAATTTGCTACACAAAAAAATGTGTAATTCTGATTTAATCAGAAAACAGAAGAACTATGCTAGAGCACTGAACAAAAGATCTAATCTTTGGAGCGTCCTTTCCAAGTGAGTGTAAATAAACTGTAGTAAAATGAAAAGGCTTGTAATTTAGTATTTGGAATATTCTTCATAAACACCAATTTTCTGTAACATCCTTGCATATCTGATACCACCTCATGTATAATGCAGAAAATCTATTTCATTTTCATCTATTGACAGTGAATTTAATTTACTATCATGGCTCTTTACCCAGATTATGTTATTAATTCTGCAATCAGGCTCTTTTGAATGCCTTTATTTCTTCCAAGAGTTTTCACAATTCTACATTGATTTTTTCCACTCTAACATACCTTTCAAAATAAAGGATCATTTTTAATAACTGTCTAAAAAAAAAGGAAAAACGGGAAGAAAAAAAAAAAGCACCTCAAAGACAACAAGCAGCAGTTAATAAGCTGTATTTTTCAACAGGAAAAATCTACATGCATGACTTTAACCTCTGACATTTAAATATCATAAAGTACATTCGTTAAGGAGATGTACAACAGGTGCATTATAATTTCCACATCAACAATCAGCATTGTAAATAGACCACAATCTCTCCCATTAATAAAAAATTACCCACTTCTGCCTGACACTAAAGTTAGAGGATTGCAAAGCTAAATACTCCAGCGTTAGTGTTCTGTTTACATCCATAACAACTGCCTTTGCTATTTCATAGAACTCAGTCATCTTGTTAAACTAGATCAAATGCAAAGCAGCTCTTGTTTTTCCAACAGAAAAAAGTCAGCAACAGCTAGTCAACTCTAAATCACCGATTATTCTTCAAAACAGCAAAATCAAAACACCAAAATGAGTGTTGGTTATTTAATTATTTTGTGGCAGTTTTTAAAAAGTCCTCTAGAACAAAGTTCAATTGCAGAATGCTAATTCGTTCCTCTTCAGGAAAGACGTGATTATCCAATTGCAGAAGCTAAAATCTTGTATATCATTACGTAAGACTCCCTCCTCAGAAATCTTATAAAGAAGAAATGCTAAATCAGGTATTTATTATTGTTATACACAAACATTAGAACCGCCTTTCTTGTGCAACTGATATAAAACACTCATTTCTTTATTCATCCAAAGTATTTCTCTTTTATAACAGATTTTTTCCACCATCATAATAAACATAATATAAAGAATACCTAAAGAGCAGCACTTGTCCTCTTTACTTCACTCCAGAGCCAGTGAACAAAGCAGTGAAGCAGAAAGAAGGTACATAATGGATTTAAAGTAAATGGCCCATTCTTTAAGAGGCAGCCTCTCATTTTTACTCATTCTAGCTTAATTGTCATTACAATGTCTGGAAACTTCAAACGAACAATTATTTTTACGCCAGCTGTCAAGTTGGTTCCTTTGCTAGATTTTTATTTCTTAAGAAAAACTAAAACCCAAAGCAATCAAAACATTAATGAAAATAATATTTTTTTCGGCAGAAACACTGTAAACATCTTTAAACATAATTCAAGCAGTTAGTGCCCAGTCCATTCCATACACCAGGACAGAACATTTATATTCACTGTTGCACTTTGCAGCATAGTTTTCTGAGAAACAATGCTTCCAGCTGCACTGGAAGCTCAGTCGTCACTTTACGAAACACTAACACATACAAACATCCCTTGGGATTTAAAAAATAAAGAATTGGCTAATTTTTGCACCTACCTGGGTAAAAATCTTTGGATTTAGACAGCTTGATGGTGGCCCCAGTCTCTTTCTGCAACTGAACAATTGTCTGTCCTCCCTTCCCAATTATAGATCCAGCAGCATAACTAGGTATGAGGACCTTTAGAAAATACTGGCCATCCTCTGAAAAATTGAGATATGCATGGTTAATATGGCTTACAAACTTTGAGTTTTCTTCCCCAGACCCATAATAAACAAAATACTACATCTTTAAACCCATACACTAATTCATGCATTTACCTCTAACCAGTTGCGTCATTCTACAAGACATGCTTACACTACGCCTTTGACATTTTAAAATATGTATATTTATTCTAAGTAAATTTAAGAATCCACATAGATTCCTAAATTCTGTAAAAGAATAAGAATAAAATCCAAATCATATTTCAAAGGTGATTTTTTTCCCCAATGGTAACCACAGCACGCAAATACGATCGGACCCCTCTAAAAAGAAAAAAAAGCCCTGCACGAAAACGTGCCTAGTGACAACTACAACATTGCTTGAGAATACTGCAAAAGAAACGCCTAAAACTAAAAAGAACGCACTGTAAATTCTGAGGGGCTATTTGTTTGTCATTAGTAAATACATGAGAATAGCAATTAGCTATTGCCTGCATTCTTCTTAAGTGAGCAAAACGACTACTCTGCTACCAAATAACCCACCCAAAATGTGGGGTTTTATTCCAAGCATTTCAGCCACTGCCAAGAAAACAACTCAACATGGTACGGATGGAATCACTTCCTAAGTAATCCTGATGTATTCCTTTAGCACTTCTTAAGGGACAATGATCTGGTTTAAGCTCATTAATTAAAGGACATTAAGAAGAATTTTTCCCAATTGATCAAAAGCCTAAGTCACTTATTTTAAATACACTTAAAAGGTGACGAGATAGACAATGCCAGTCCTCTACCCACCACCTGCCTTAAAGGACACGATCAGAACAGGGGAGAGAAAAAAAAAGAATACGGAATGAATGGAGGGGAAGAAGAAGAAAGGCTTCCCAGTCTGATTCGGCAACTGCACAATCGTCTGTGCCCTCGCCCCAGTGCTCAATCCAGCCCCGCTGAAGTGCGAGGACCTTCCCTAAGGGGCTCCGAAGAAGTGCAGAGCAATACGGGCACGCTGCCTCCTCAGGCTCTCCCCAGCGATTAAGGCAACGTCCCACTGGCACGGATATCAAGGGGTTTATCACGACACCCGCTTCCCAAAGTTGCTTGGGTGTCCATCCCCCACCCCAAGCGGG